TCAGTCAAAAATCAGCTAGAGCTGGAGAAAGCACGTGGATTTTAAGATAACGTACAAATACCAGTAAATATACTCAATTACAAGTAGAACCAGTAAAATGTACTCAGAGTATTAAAATAAAAGTACTCAGTGGCCCTATAATGTACGCCATTAAACTGGTTTAATAAATAAATAGTGTAATTATTTAAATAATAAATGTGACCTCAAACATTAAAGGTAAAAGCAGCACATTTTTACATTTCTGAAAATAGAACACTGACGTCTCACATCTTGACAAATTACCTCAACTAAAACCAAAACAATACATTTTCTAGTAAAACAAAACCCTCGTCAGCTGACAGATCCTTTCAGCTGCTCTTGTATGTGTTGGGTCGTATAACGTGAGCACCATGTTATATGTTACTATAGGTTTTAATGACATATAGTGGAGTAAAAAGCACAAAATATCCTGTTGAAGTGTAGTAAAAAGTATGAAGTAGTATGAAAAGAACATACTCGTACCGTAGAAGTACCTCAGATTGGTACATAGCGCAGTACTTCAGCTCATGTACCTGTGACGTGGCGTCCTCATGAATTAATGCGATGATAACAAATAATAACAAGGTTGTCTGATTCTGAGTAAATGTTTTATCTATTATTCAGTGGCACATTTGTAAAGTCTGAAAACTGGATGAACTCAGATTAATTGAGTTCACTAGTTTCATCTTATGTTACACAACAGAGAACACATAACAGAGGTGATTGAGTCAGCAGTCTGCTGACCGATACAGTGGTCATCAATGACAGGGATTGAATCAGAGGCTCCGCTGACCATCAAAAGAAAAGACTTCCTTCATCGGTGGCTTCAAAATGGGGCCATAAAGTTCTTAAATATCCAACTTATTAACCGAAGCTATTGGGTCTGTTATGGTGACAAACACATGAATGAACTCATTCAAAACTGGAAATCCCAGAATCACATTAAAAGTGAGTCAGTGATTCTAATTCAGTGCACGTCTTCTCTTCTACGCTGATATCTATGCTTGTTTATTCACGTTTGTACTGAATCACAGAATCAGAGACTCCACTTTCACGTGTTGTTTGACATCAGCAGTAACAGTATCAGGTGTCAAACTGTTCTTTATTATCTAATGAAAGAAAGTTAAACAGTAGAATGACTCTTGAATACATGTCTTATGATCTCAAATGTAACACGATGGACTTTCCTTACAGCGTGTTTTAGTTTGCCGAGGCAGGACGGGTGCCGGTGTGATCGACGGCATCAAGAATTGATTCACTCCAGTCATGTGAGTGAGTTCCTGGATCTTTGTATTGAGCGGTTCAGCTCACTTATTGGAACTGAGCTGCTGTTTAGTGATTGGATCCAAACTGCTGTTTGTGAAACAGCAGGTCAGTTCTCTGGAGAAAGAGGGCGGGGCGTAGCCACGGTGACAAACACCCGTACACCACCTGAGTCCCGCCCACCAGCCCACCACCTCTACAACGGCTCACATGCGCAGGTATAGCTCATTACAACTGATGAGTTACTTGTTGAAACAAACACAGAAGACACAGACCGACAGCTACGATGGAAAACCAGCCACGCAGAACAGCAGCAGTAGAAGAAATACCAGAAGAAGACTCAACAGAAGAAGCATCAATAGAAGAAGAATCAACAGAAAAAGAATCAACAGAAGAAGAATTCCCAGAACTCTACAGAGGTTGGCCTTGGTAAATAGTCCTACTGGGGAACAGCTGGTTTTCCATCTCACATGTGGCCTTTAGCCATCAGATTATACACACTGAGGAGAGAAATGAACACAGAAATCAGCGTTTCTCTTTTTCTGCTTAGAAAACGTTATTTCAGCCTTTTATCAGGTGATGAGCTGCATGTTTCAGGTAGACAGGGTTTAGATGGTTTAAAGTTGGTCTGGGTCCAAAAACAAATGAAGAGCTCATTTGCAAAAACAGATAACTTCATGTTTGTAGACTTTCAGAGAACTTATTTTCTTGTTGTTTGCTTGAGATGATATCAATCAAACTGAAGCTGAGTGGATGTGACTCAGTAGAAACAACATGACAGAAACAGAGAAAACTTAAGTTTGATATTGTCTCAGCTAGACGATAGAGAAGTGGGTTTTCTGAAGGTTTGTGAGAGTTCTCTGTTTTAACAAATGAACTCTTCAAATACTGTGTTCACATCTTTGCATGTTGTGTGAACAGAAAACTGGTCCAGAGACTGTAAATGCTTTTACAGTGAACTGTTGGAAGTCTTGCTCTGCATTTTGTGATTTGTGTGTTTTTTTTCAAATTTTCAGGGATTTTGTCAGTTTGAACAATCAGTTGTGTCTGCAGCTCCGGAGGCTTTTCTTTCAGGGCCGCATGTCTCGAGCTCTTCGTTTCAATGAAGCGTCGCCTCCCACCATGGATGATCAGTGAAGTGCGTCCGAGATACTGCTGATATATTCCACACAAAGTAGGACTTGATGTTCACGTACTTGTAGATTCAAGGGTCATTTCAGTCAACACACTTGTTGTAATTTTAAAGGTTTCTTGCACCCAAACAGTACTTTCTATCAGCTCTATCTACTTCTGTTACAATCTACAGTTTTAAACAGTGCTGATCAATAAAAGCAGCTCTAACTATCATCAGCACTGTGTTGGGCTCATGTCATGACTCCACTGAATAGATAAGAGTTGGTTGAGCAGCAGGCTGTCGTTAAGACATTTGTTTCTCCAACTTTGGCAGGTTAACCATAACTGTGCCGTGCAACTGAAGAAACCAGAACAGTTTGTAGCATTAAACACATCAAACGTGGTTTACATTCAACACTCACGCTATGAGTTTTCTTCCCAGAAGCGTGGTCCTGAGAGTTTAGCCTCCAGTGCTGCAGACGCATCCCACTCAGTCTGAACGACACTTGAATCATCATGTGATGGATAACAATGACATTTGTGAATTCACCAGGAGAAGGCGACTGACAGCTCGTCCACCTTTGGACCGCAAACCAATAATACCAAGGTAACTGGTCTTACTGGGAAATGATGCAGACTGAGGTCAGAAGTTAGCACAGAAATCAGTGTTTGTCTTTTTCTGCTGAGAAAAACATGATTTCAGCTTTTCCTGCTGCTAAGCATCAGGTGATGAGCTGCACATTTCAGGCAGACAGGTTTTATCTGGTTTAAAGTTGGTCTGGGTCCAAAAACCAAATACTGTGTTCACTAAATGATCTTTGCATGTTGTGTTAACAGAAAACTGGTCCCGTGGTGCAGAGACTGTGAATGCTTTTGCAATGAACTGTTGCATAGTTGGAAGTCTTGAACAGCATTTTGTGATTTGTGTGTGTTTTTTTTTTTCCTCCAAACTTTTAGAGTGTTGACAAAAACATATCGCACAAGGAAACCGGAAAATGACCTTTATGGTGCAACGCTCAGCAGCACCGCCAGCAGGTTTGCCACAAATGACTTTGTTGACAAGGATCCTACGAACAACGGTACCGCTGGTGAATTCACCAAGGAGCAGGTGTTTAACGAAGCATTCGAGGGAAACGCAGCGAGGCTTCACGGCCTGCTGCACTACCTGCAACATAACAATATGCGACTGACAAGCCCAGAATTCAAAGGCAAGTCATAAGAAACCTGTTATATTCTTATTATTTATAAGCTGCAGTCCTGCTGTTATCAGTTTAGATGTTTGTTCATAACAGGAGAACTATGCTGCAAAACCAGGCGTTCAAAAATATGTTGTGCAGTGAATGTATTTTAGTAATGAAAGTATGTAAGTATTGTGTGTTGGTCATTTTAAGTTTCCACTCACTAGAGGGAAAGGGTAAGGTATGATGAGATGAGATACGATAATCCTTTGACTTTAATCCTGAAGGAAATTCTTCAGCATCTATTCCTCACAAAACAAAATGACATGAGAAATGAAGGACCAGGAGTTATTCCAGCACTTATTGAGTTAACATCACATCATAATCTAAAATTCTCTGTCCCATTATAAAACTAATGTCTTGAGAAACAAACTGTTATTTGTGCACCACCTGCAGATAAAACCAACGGGAAGACTGCTCTCCTGAAAGCTCTGCTGAACCTGAAGAATGGTCAGAATGACACCATCGACGTCTTCCTTGATATAGCGGAGAAAACTGGAGATTTAAAAAATCTGATCAATGCAGAGTTTACAGATAAATTCTACAAAGGTAGGTGAAGCCAAACTGTGAGTAATCGAGGGTCTTCGGGCTGCGTCGTGCTGAAAGAACCTTTGAGGCAAACTGTGTTTAATCTCATATTTGGAGAAGTTGAAAAGCTATTTCCTGTAATAACACAACTGGTGCCTCAGGTCAGACACCTCTGCATGTGGCCATTGAGAGGAGAAGCTTTAGATATGTGGAGCTGCTGCTGACGAAAGGAGCAGATGTTCAAGCCAAAGCCACTGGAGAGTTTTTCCAGCATAACGCAAAACAGGGCTTCTATTTTGGTGAGTGGTTTCATTTTAGAAACAACGATAAGTTAAATGTTTGATCAGATGTTGTGTTGTAGCTCACTTGTGTGTTTCTGACAGGCGAGCTCCCTCTGTCGCTGGCTGCCTGCACCAACCAGCCTCGTATCGTGACCTTACTCATGCTCAACCCTCACAGAAGAGCTGAGGTGAGGGACCAGGACTCGCAGGGAAACACCGTGTTGCACATCTTGGTGATCACAGCAGACAACACTGAAGGAAACACCAAAAAGATCACAGAGATGTATGACAGAGTTCTTTTTCTGCACAACAAGCTCAAAAAAGAAACTCAAAACTCACAAGAAGCTGGAAGAGGGAAGCTGGAAGAGATTCAAAACAATCGAGGCCTGACTCCTCTGAAGTTAGCGGCCAAGCTCGGCAGGATCCAGGTACGTCTGTTAAAGTTATAGATGATCGTCCTTAATCAGCAGCCCTGTTTAGCACAGATACCACTAACATTTGATTTCCCCTGATCACCGTCTAGCTGCTCAGACACATGCTCCAACGAGAATTCAAGGATGAGGAGACGAGGCATCTGTCCAGAAGGTTTACAGAGTGGGTCTATGGACCCGTTCACTGCTCACTTTATGACATTAGCTCCGTCGACACCAACGAAAGCAACTCTGTGCTGGAGATAATCGTCTTTGGGAGGGACGTTCCGGTTAGAACTTTCTATTTTGACCTAATTTTATCTTACAGTGACCTAATTTGAGCTACAAATGATTTTATCGCCAAGTGTTGTGGGTAAAGTGACTCGTGTGGATTATGTTCGTCGCAGCAGTGAAGCCTTTTAACAATTATGGTTTAGGTGCAGTATGTAAAAAATACTTATTTAGAGTTTAATCAACAAAATCAAGTGAACAGACGTCTGTCACTTGTTCTCCGGCTTCCTCCCACAGTCCAGAAACACGTTGAGGTTAATTGGTGATTCTAAATTGTCCGTAGGTGTGAATGTGAGTGTGCTTGGTTGTCTGTCTCTAAGTGTAGCCCTGTGATAGACTGGTTACCTGTCCAGGTGAACCTGCCTTCACCCTGAGTCACCTGGATAGACTCCAGCCCCCCATGACCCTAGTGAGGATGAAGCGGTGTATAGATGATGGATGGATTTTTACTTTTAGACTTGTCAATTTCCAGTTACGTTTGTTGTAAAATATAAAAGTTGAACTCAAATGTAAATGCAGTTGGAAGTAGACCAGAGCTGCGGTGGGACATGAACTGTCCTCTGACGGCAACCAGCTGTCACTCAAAGAGCTCATAGTCCTGAATTCTTCATAACTTTTAGCCTTAATAAAATCCAAACAGGTGAGATTTACAGTAACTCACCTCCTGCACAGTTGTCATGAACGGGGAAATCAACTACAGAGAGCAAAACCCCTTTTTTGTAAAAGGGTGTAAACATGTTTTTTTGTGCTGTGAAGCTGAATATTTTACTGTGGATAGACTCACAGCTGGAACAGGCCTCATGCTGACATTTACAGAACTGCAGTTTTTGGCACTTTGCTGTTGGTTTCCGTTGTTCAGACGTTGCTGCTTCGTCACAACGTACACAATAACCTGTCACAGCAAAATAGAGAATGAAATAGGGGGATTGAAATGTTTGAAATGTTAACACTAACTTGTGAACATTCTCTCAGAATCGCCCTGAGATGCTTGAAATCGAACCTCTTCGCAGTCTTCTTGAGGAGAAGTGGGACATGTTTGCTTCCAAGCTGTTCCTGCTGAACTTCTTGGTGTATCTGATGTACCTGATCATCTTCACCACCGTGGCCTTACACAGGAAGGACGGACAGGTACCATGGACAGAACCAAACAATCCATCTGCTCATTTAAAACACAACAAACCACCTTTCACACCTTCAGCCTCTGAATCTGTTGACCTGCAGCCGCCGTTTCCGGTTGAGGGTCCTGTCGACTGCCTTCGTTGTGTTGGTGAGATGGTCAGCGTCGTGGGAGCGCTGAAGTTTTTCTACCAGTCGGTGAGAACGTGGAACCGCAGCTAGCGTGGAGCGTTTCCAATTGTTTCTGAAGAAAATAGTTTAACCAAATAGTCAGCAATGTTCCTTTAAAGTTAATGCAATGTTTCAAGGTCGGCGTTCAGAGGACGTTGTCAGGAACACAGATTGTGTTCATGATAATAAACCAACATTTAAAAAACGTTTTCCAGATGTTAGGCTTAGGGTTACATGTTATTAGGACGCCAGATGCCCGACGTTCTCTACATGACTGTGATTTACTAACAAAGGTGGAACATTCTGGCTGAAATGTTCTGAGGATGTTCTGGGGATGTTGTTGAGGAAACACATTGTAGATCTATGAAACATTCCTACAATGTCGTACGAAAGAACATTCTGAAACCAACATTCAAAAAACATTTTCCAGATGTTATCGAGGCCTCAGATATTGAAGGTGGAACATTTTGCCTTTTGTTGAGGGAAAACATTACAGAATCTAATAAATGTTCCCACAATGTTACGTGATAACAAAGGAAGAACGTAAAATTTTGAGAACGCTAGGAGATAACGTTCTAACAGGGTCATCACCAAACATTTTTAGAACATTATTTGTTGTCCCACCGTTGAGAAGAACATTGTCGGAACTCAAAGAAAACTCCTCACTTTTGAAGATAAAATGGGATGCGGTTGAATAATTCACACAACAAGAGTGAATCCTGTCTCTGTGTCTGACCTCTAAATCCACAGATAACCTTCTTCCAGAGGAACCGTCCAAACCTCCAGGCTCTATTCACTGATGGGTTCAGTGACATCCTGTTGTAAGTGCTGCCAGGAGATCTTTTTACGCCTGAACCACTTGTAAAGGACATCTTTAGTATTTGAATGTCCGATCTGTTCAGTTTCTTGCAGGCGACGCTGCTTCTGGTCTGCACAGTTTTGTACTTCTGTGGTCGAAGAGAATATGTTGGACTCCTGGTGATCTCGCTGGCTCTCGCCTGGATTAACATTCTTTACTACTCAAGAGGCTCGAAGCAGTTGGGGAAATATTATGTCATGATGCAAAATGTACGAATCTAGCGATCCAAAGAATCCAAATGGGCTGTCTGGTCAGAAACGCATCACCTCGTTTACGTTCTGTTTCCCTCTTTAGATGATACTTGGTGACCTGCTACACTTTCTGTGTGTCTATAGCGTCTTCCTTTTTGGATTTTCTGCTGGTAAGACTCCAAAAATGTCATACCAATACCATGAAGTTATATCTGATTGAGGTTAAGACCTCTTGACTTCTCTCTTCATCCACAGCTGTTGTTGCTCTGATGAGCAGCCGCCCCTTAAACCAAAGCAACCTGACCGATGCTTCGGCGGTACAAGGACAAAGCTCTGACGCGGACAAACCAAAATTCAGCAACTTGCGCTTCACCGTGTTGGAAATGTTCAAGTTCACCATCGGAATGGGAGACCTGCAGTTCACCGACCAGGCTGAGTACAAGGAAGTGTTCTACGTCCTGCTCATCTGCTACATCGTTCTCACCTACATCCTGGCGCTCAACATGCTCATCGCCCTGATGGGCAACACGGTCGAAAGAATCTCCTCCCAGAGTGAAATCATCTGGAATCTACAGGTGGGAAACCACTACCGTGTGTGGACATGTTAATAGATCCAACACAGGAAATTTAGGTTGCATTTGTCAGGACAAAGCCAATCTGCCTGAGGCCCTGTTTACATGTAGCACAAACAGTGATGTTTCAGTGGGTCTTTGGTTTACACATAAACGAAGCTACAAGTCACCGAAATGATCATATCTGAAAACTCCGTCCAAAGTAGAGATTTGGAAAAACTCCGTCTTTACGTTTGCATGTAGACACGAGGAGACGGAGTTTGACGTCACAATATGCGACAAAAGATGCGTCATCATGTATGTGTGACCATGTTTACAGTTTGGCTACGTCCATGGACTTGGGCTGACATGTTTACAGTCAATACTTTCAAATATTTGACTTGTTTAGTCTCTAACACCACATTGAGGAGCAGCTCCACTTCTCTGTCGGCCCAAACAAACGACCCTCGCGCCATTATTGTTGAAGTTACAGGAAGTTTTCATTGTTGTTTTTTCCAGGATTCTGATTGGCTAGCATGACTTCATGCTTCTCGTTGCACTGCCCCCTATAGGTTTGGCAGCTCATAGCAGCTCTTAACGACGTGTTCATGCGGGTTTGTGCAAACGAAGATTTTTTTGAAAATGATCTGATGAACAATGTTATTTTTGAAAGCGTAGATCCGTTTTTTGTGAACACCGGCTCTGTGTAAACGTGGCCTTAGAGGACAATGGGTATCTCAACGTTATTTTTTAAAATTATGGATCATTCATACCATGCCAAGTGTTTCTAGGTCATTAAAAAAAAATTAAATTTGACGAAGACAAAGATTTGACATGATTTAAATGCTTAAAATCTCTGATACATTTGGTCTCACGTCCTCAGAGGGCCTTTACAATTCTGGACCTGGAGAGGTCTCTGCCCACGTGTCTGAGGAAGAAGCTGCAAGTCAGAAGAGAGCACGACGAGTATCAAGGACTTTTCAGGTGAACCATCAGTGGACGTGTCCAGCTGTAAATCTACACAGAAAATATTTACAGTGTACAAAAAAAACTGATCTAAAAAAATATACAGTTTACAAAAAATATGTAATCTGAAAAAATAAAGTTTGCAGAAGTCAGGAATGTAAAAATATACAAAACAATGTATAATATAAAAAGTCTGTAATGTTAAAAGTATGCAGAGTGCAAAAAAAACGCAGCAATGTTAAAAACCTCAAACATTATGCTTCAAAATCTGTGATGTAAATGTGCACAAAAACTAGAATCTCGTTATAACACAAGTGGAGGAAATGTTTCTTGGAATTCAGGTGACATTTGTGGTGTTTCTTCTTCAGGGTGGAGGAGAGGGACTGGAAGCAGTGGAGGTCAGATCTCGGTGTACAACGAAAGGAAGACCCGCTGCTTTATAACCCTCCTGGTAGGAAACAGACCACACGACTTTGACTGCTGTTTCTTTCTGGTGAGATGTCGCTGACACAAGCTGCCTTCTCCTCCTTCAGAGTCTCACTGGAACGTGGAATGGTTCCTGGACAGGATGAATCCCAGACGTCGCCTGTCGCAGCAGGCTGGGATCCCCTAAACTAAAGGGGACATCAAACTACCAAAGTGTCAACCAGTTTAAAGTCTCACATGTTTTTGATACGAGAGCAACGTCTTGTATTCTCACTGTGGCGTCTCTTATTTGTGTACATACCAGTGAAGGTGTTGTGATGTTATTTATATGCTAGATGAAGGTCAGACAGACCGAAACGCTGCCATCAAGTTCATCAGTTTCAGCAGTAAGAAGGACGGTGGGATGGAGCAGTTGTCAGTTTTTTAGCTTTTTACTCAGAAACACGTCTCTGTTCAGGTGTGCACACGTCACTTTATTCTCACTTTGTTTCATAAAACAGAGATGATTAAGGAAACGCCTTTAAAAATATACATCTTTAATTCACACAATATCCAAGTTTGGACATACTTTGGATATTTTGTACAAGTTTACAGTCATTTAGAACAAGCTTTTGTCATTTTGGATAATGTTTGAGTCATTTAGAACAAGTTTTTGAGTTCCTGTGAACATGTTTTGTCTTTTTGACAACTTTTAA